AACCTAAAATACCATATTATGATAAATAATAATTTATTATAAAAGTTTACATTATTATCTTCGTAAAACAATAATATCGTTTCACGTAGATGAAAATTATCAAGTTATCATAATTAATATTAATAATTAAGATGAATTGATACCTTTAGTAGATATAATTTAACTAATCATAAATAAAATCTAGCTATTTTTCATAATTAAAATTAATTATTTATTTATTTATTTACTTTTCCTTTGAGAAGTTTTAAATTACCTGATAAAAGCAGCTCTAAAAGTTTTATTAAATATTGTATAAATTATTGGGTTGATCGTCGACGATACGTAACCTAACCACAAGCATACTTCAGTTACGTGTTCTGGTACGGGACAATCTTCTTTTGGACACACAGCAAAAACGATATTCAACAAAAAAAATGGTGACCAACACAAGACAAATGTAAAAAATACGACTCCTAGTACTTTACTAGCTTTTTGTTCGGTTCTTACAGCGTTAGCAGCTGCTAAACTCTGACGTTTTTGTCGGTTGGCAAGGAATCTGTCAACATTTTGATTAATCAAATTAAATAAGCAAAATTGTAGCTCTTATCATAAATAAAATCAGTTTATTGTTCTTATATTTTAGACATCTACAGCTAAAGGGAACAAAATTTAAATTAAATAGAAAACATTGTCTCATTTTTATACAAAAAATGTTAAATCTAGAAAATGACTTATTTTCTTTTTTTTTTATTCAATAACTAGTATCGAAATTAAATAAATATTTTTATTTAGGCTTATGATCAATTTCCTAAGAAGGAAGTAGACAAGATTAACACTTGTCAAAGGATCATTATACTTACGTTTTTTTATATCAATAATTTTACTCCTAGATATTTTATACTTCTGGGTACTAAAACAACTGGTGTATTTTTAGTGTATTGACTTTGAACCAGATTTACATGCAGAATCAATGTCTTACTTCTTCGATAGTAGAAAAAAAACATTTTGATTTTTTTTTCAATTTTTAGCGTTTAAATTTTTTTGAAAAAATTAATTAACTTAGATAATTTATTAATGAGTTATAAAGAGTCAATTTTTTAACTATATGTTAAGATTTATTGATTTATAAATTATACTACCCCTTCTTATTTTTTTTTTTAATAATGATTTCCATAATGTATAAATTAAAATGTAATTTAATTTATAATGCATTGCAAATATCAAAGAATGTGTTTAGCTTTGATAATGGTAACATTGTTTCCGAAATACGTATTCGCGACTTTTCAGTAATTTTTTGTGGCTTTTTAGTTTAATATTTTTTAGTTTTTAAATTAATAATAATTTTAATATAGTTTTAATTTTACTTAGTATGAACAATGTTTTCTTTATATTAAATTGACATAATCACAAAATTCAAAGTTATTTTTATAAATAAATATTTTTCATTTTAAAATTAATAAAGTAGAAATATATTACAACAATAAAAACTTACTAATTGTCATCGAGCTAGTAGAGGTACTGATATGTACGTTAATAATAACTTGCCTAGTAGTCAGATTAATATCAATAAGTTCTTACAAACTACTATTGTTAAAGTACAACTATCTAACTCAATAATTAACGTCTGAAATATTTCCCTCCTAATCAACATTCAATGAAATAGGCCTAATAAATAATTTTAACCAGTTACCGATAGTGCTAAAGAATTAGAAACATATAGAAGGACAAAACCTCATATTACTCAATAACGGTGAACCCGCAAGAATAGGAGATTTTCATTAATAAATCTAAGGATGGCAAACCTATTATTAGCTCAATGACTGGAATGGTTAACTTCAGGCGACATATACCCATAATAATTTAGTTCATGCCAAGACTAAATAACAAACACCAAATCAATGTAACCAATTGTAACCTAAAATTACCCAATTTATAATCATCACAACCAAAAAATTGAAAACCTCTCGGATTTTGAAAATCAAATTATAGAACAATTATTTAAGTTTTTAACTAAAGCAAATTTAGAAACAGCTGAAATAACCTTAGGTAAGAGTACTATAAGGTAAGGTACCTTGGTGGAATAACGAAATAAAAGAAATAATCAGAATTAAAAAACCGTGNAGTACCTTGTTGGAATAACGAAATAAAAGAAATAATCAGAATTAAAAAACCGTGTTCACTAAGAATAAAAAAAAAAGAAAAACAAATTTTTATCAAACTTAAACAAGCAAAGACTAGAGTTAAATTCTTGATAAAAATTAGTAAAAAGAAATCTTTTGATGATTTATATATATTATAAACCATTAAACCAGTGCCAAATTAATATGGAATAAAATACAGCCATTAAAAGCACTTTACCTTAATAGTATTATTTAGTTAGTTAACGAAGACAAATCATATTTAATAACAAATCCAGAAGACATGGCTAATAAATTACCTAGACAGCAAATTTAAAAAATAATGTTATAGAAAAATTTTTATGACATTATAAGTTATAATAACGTTATAACAACATTATTATAACATAAAAGCTAACTACTTTATCAAAACAGTAACGACAATAACTACACTGAAGAATTTAAAAAATACAAACGTGAGATCGGAAAAAATAACTTAGAATTGCTAAGGAACCTACAACAGTATTTCAGATATAGTTAAAATATATAACATATCATGCTATAATATGTTAAAATATGGATGAGTTAAAGACAACAATAAAAAATGTAAAATTAAAAGTGCCAATCCTAATGATGTTCTTTAGTCTTTCATACATAATTAGAAATTAATTCTGTTATATCTATAATATAGATACTCACTATACCACTTGTAGATACAAAATATTAAAACAGTTAAGCAAAGTGTTAAATAAAATAATATGTACATTATCATTGTGGAATTTTTAGTAATAGAACCTTTCAAGTTAAAAACATTAACATCATAATCTAATACATATGGAGTACCTCAAGGTTCAGCCTTATCTGTCACTCTATTCCTAATAGCAGTCAACTTCATTGTCAATAATATTAAATCTTCAGTTAAGAACACACTTTTAATATACGTACTATCTCAACATAAATACTGAACTAATTTTATAAAAATAGAATCAATTCCTTTCATTTATAAGGATAATATGAGAGCAATGCTCGAACAGTATCACGATTACAATTATATATTTATCGATACCTCTAAACAAGAAAATGATAAGGCCATAACCGCAGTACCAGAAACATTAAAGCAATGCACAAAACACAATAGTAGCATATCCTCAAGTGTGAATATGCTTATACATACAAGGTGGTAGTAATTATTTGGACATCCTTTCATTGTGATATTGATGGAAATGAAGAATCTGATAAGATAGCTAAAAGCGCAATTCATAACTCGCTAGCAATATAAATAAATATAAAAAACTTACATTAAAAGACACAATACATACTACAAAATAATGGCAAACAAAATAGCAAAATAATTTTACTCCACGAGATCAAAAACTTAGTGTATTTGTGGCCAAATTCTGTTTCATTTAGCAGGAACTAAGAAATAAAAATGAAGAGACTCAGAAAAGACTACACCCGACTTACCCACATCTATATATTTGACAAAAATGAAAAACCATTATACCAAATGTTCAACATCGCCACAACACTAAAATATATTTTAGCAGATTGTCGAAAATTCGAAGACATTAAAGAAAATAACAACATAGACCATATATTAGACGTAAGCCCGGGCTCGATGAAGATGAACAAAAAAATAAAACGGTTAAATTCCTCAGTAAAACAATCATATATAAAGAAATTTAAAAAATAATTCTATTATTAACCTGTATATTAAAGAAAAATATTGTTCATGTTATATTTGTGTTAATATCATTGTATACGTATTTTTGTTAGAGTAAACTTATTGTAAGTTCTCCTAGCTAATAGATAGAGATACCATTGCTATAAAGATAAATAAATAAATAAAAACACAATAAATTCTTGATGATACATAATAGATATTCATAATAATTAAAAACAGGATTTAATTATAATTATTGTAACTTAATTGTAATAATATTTTATAAAGTAAAAAACTTAAGTTTTTTAAGAAATTTAAAAGAATTCAATAAATATATTGCTGAAGTTAGTTATGGTTGTGATTGTTGACTCATTATAATTACTCAATTGTATGTAACTTGTTTAATATTCAAAATATTCTTCATTAGTTTTTTTAATATGACACCACAATGTAATATATTTTTAATGTATAGATCATTCTCTCGATTTCAAACTTCGCAATAATCTTGATATGATTTTTTTCCAATATTCTTGATAAAAACGTATACATTTATATTTTTGAACTATTTCATATGTCATTATTCGTTTAGTTCAGAAGACATTAGCCATTTCATATCATCCAACAAAAGATAAATTGTGTTTGAAGGTAACCGAGTCACTAATAAAAGCGATAACTTAGGTATTATTTAACTACAAGAAACCATTAAACCAAAATCCATAGCATCATTTTCGACTAAATCCGAAAAAATCATAACAAAGAGTGGAAGACTTAATAAAATACTGTGTAATCGTAGTTTAACATCATCAAAAATTCATTGACTTTATATTTATTAGCAATACATAAAAGTCGATTAATTTTTTATATTTATTGATTTCATTATATTGAAGATTGTACTTTAACCATTTATTTTATCAATTTGCAGACTACATCCATACATTAAATACCTCAAGTTTAATGACGGTGGATTCATATTTAACGGCAACCTGAGAGTTTTCAATCGGAAATTTCTAGAATCATTGCTTGAAGCTGATACTGTATCTGCCATTTGTATCTCTTGGTCACAATTTTTGTTCATTTTCGCCGTCTGTCCAATTCTAAAACAACAGTTATAAAATGAACGTTCATAATACGTGAATTCCAATAATACTAAATTATGTATTAACATTCTATTCAACTAAAAATACAACATAACTATATAGCTAAATCATTCTAATATTTGTAAGTAACACCTCAAAACTTATTTCAACATGTTAAAACAGTTATTAAATATAACTGTGTTGTTCAGAATTTTATTAATTCACTTTTATGATATTAACATAAAAGTCCTATAATTTTTAATGTGATTAGATCATAATTACACTAAAAATCAAAGGATTTATTATATACTATTGACATGAATATATAGACAGAAATTAATATTTCCAAAATCATTGATTAGTCAAAGTTTTACTATTGTTTACAATATTATTGTTAGTATTCGAATATTTACGACAAGTGTCAATATCTACTAAATTGTTTGTATATTTATTATGTTATTATTAGTTTTTTAATTATATGCCCTATAAATTATTTCAAGATATATTAAATAATAAACTTATATTAGTATGATAATAATCGTATGTCAACTTGAGCGATGAAAAATTATGTGTGAATGGTGTAGTATCCTTTTTATAATAAAAATAAATAAAAATATTTATAAACAATAAATGTCTTTTTTTAGAAAATTTATTAATTTTTTACTTATTAAAATATTTTATAAGTCATTTATGAAATGAAATGTAACACGAATAAAAAACACATAATATGGCATTAAAATTACCATATTAGATTCAAGTAGATATTTTACTAATTTAGTTGTGTTGTTTATTACCAAAAATATTATCAAAATAAATGTTTGTAATAAATTAGATGCGGAAATAAGAGTTTGTACTTTAATAACATTATTTTAATAAATCATTAATAAATAATATTATAATATTTTAAATTAGTGTTAATTAATAATTACCTACATCATATTTACAAGTTGTTGGTCGTCAAAAGTTAATTAACTACATCTGTACACTATGCATCTCAAGCATAATTTTTATGAGCTATGTCAACAAATCGTAGTAAGCTCAAAATAAACTTTAAGCAAATGTTTTGAATTTCCTATAGAACGTAATTAAATGTTGATATCATGAAAATAATATGACAGTAGGAGAATGAAACAGTTGACACTTAATGGTTACTTGTCTATTTAAGTGGTGGCACTATTTGGTTTTGAACTTATTCTGTACAACTATGAAAACAGAAGATACCCTTTCAATTAAGTTATGACACAAAAGATGACCGTTCTCAGAAATCAAAACATAATGTATACTTTTGGAAGACTTGGTATATAGTTGAACAAACTTTTTTAAATTAATATTTCACAAAATTACATCATTATAAGTATATTTCCTTTTAATGTTCACAATGTAATCGATTTTACATAAAGTTGACAAACTGGATAGTATGCACTTAAAATTATTATAGATATCATATCCAATTAATGTTTGAAATCACATACTTTTCTTAAATTTATTTAATCAAAATTATTTTATCGTATAAAAACTAGATTCAATTAATTATGAATTCTGTGTCTATATGTTTCCTCAATTAAATTTTTCATAATTTATAATATTGAAAACTTTTAAGATTCGAATTCTTGACTATGATGCATATCTGAGGTATTCATCATAAGACTCGACCTTCTCTGCCTACCATTATTATTCTACTTCAATAACTTGTAATACTTTGTAATTTCACAATTTGTAATATTATTTATACAATATACTTAATCATATTTGTAGTGTATTCAGTAGCACAGAGTTTATGATATATTTTCATTACCTTTGTAATTTTTAATTAGAATTATCGCTTTTCATTTATGATATCAAAAAAATAATATATATAAACTGACTTTGGCTTCAAATGACTTCATTTATTCTTTGTTTCATTCTAATATTTGTGAAAATAAAAGTATAAAAAAATAATTTGTACACTTATTCAGATTTTTAGTAAACAGAACTATAAAAGCGTGGATAAAAAATACTTTTTTTTAAATCGCGCTTGTTCAGAATTTTTTGTATTATAGGAAAATTTTTTTTTGACATACGGAGAGTAATTACAAGGGGTTTTAAGCATGAGTGAATGTATAAAACATAGTTGTTTTTTACATTTTTATGAGAACATTTTAGTTTCTCGAAGTTAATTTTTTTCTACTATTATTTCAAGTTATTCTTTTAACTTCCAATTTTCAAATGTTATCTTTACTAGTAAATGAAATTTGCTTAACAATTTTTTTTTTAATCCGTTAAATTTATATATTAAACAATTATATTTAAGGTATTTAATAGCGTCCAAGGATTAATGGTAGAATCTTTAATAAATTTTGTCTCCTACTCCTATCTCGTTATATTAATTCAGCATAGACTTCTTTTTAGTCAGAGAAAATCTACTAAGTATTTATATTTGTGTAATAATCGACTTCATTAGTTCCAACAATATCTCCAATAGATTAAGTAATATAAAATTACGATTATTATGTTTAATCAAATTATTCTTAAAAAAACTTTAGTCGATTTCAAGATTCAACTATCAACTTGACCCAAATAATTAAAAACAGTTTTTCCAACTTTTCTTAATATATACAGTGTTCAACAAGCTTTTAAAAAATTCTTTTATACTTTTCGTATGCAATGCAAATACTTTAAAAAAGAACCTTGTGAGTCACCTAAACAATAAAAAAAAAAATTCTTTAATATATAACGTTAGATTATTCAGGCGTATGTTGTGAATAATTAATAAAAAAATATATATGTATATATAAAGTAATTAATAACAATTATTAAATGAAATATTATTTTTATAAGCGTAGTTTTACGTTAATTAATGTTATCGTTTTTAACTTTATACGGAAAATGGTCAGTTTTAGGTCAACATAAAAAGAAAATCTAATTAAAAATTTTTTTAATATTTGATATTTTTTTCGATATTTTGTTATAAACAATGATTTTACACCATAAGATAAAAACTATCTAGTAAAAAAATTTGAATGTTAGTGTTTCTGCACCCAGAGAAAAACCTCGATCTATATAATAAATTCATTGTTCAATTTGATAAATATATCATTACTATTGAATCTATGATATATTTATCAATATGATGATTTTTTTTTTTGTCTTGAACAATAATTATTCATAAGAATAATTATTTTATTCGTATTAATAAAACATTATCACAAACCCTTGATAAAATTTCTCTATTAAAATTGATTGAGGTTTTTCTTTAGGTGTGTATTTTATAGTTTGAGTAAATATTAAAAAAATTTATTAAATCTATTTTATTATTTTATTGATATGTAAATAGCTCAACAGAATTTTTGTTTAATTTTCTTGTTTCAAATTATAGCTATTGTTTATGTTAATTTTTTTGCAAAATGTATAGATATATATAATAAGCTTATATGCAGATATTTTTTAAAATATTACTTTCTCTTAACATTATCTCATTCTCCCTAAAATTTAAACAAATTTTAAATTAAATAACGCAAACATATTAAATATTATATGTATAAGCTTAACGAAGTTACGTAAACATTAATAAGTAATTAGGAGCGAAAACTCCAAGAAATATATTTTATTGTATAGGAAAAAGATGCTTGAAATAACTCATAATTTTGAAATGGCCCATCTGTAGAATTGTTAAATATTTTTCCTCTGCCTTTAAACTTCATTTTTGAAGTATTGTTAAAGCAAATGCGAATGGATTCGATAAAATTCACACTCGATAGTCTATGATAAAAGTTATTTGTCGTGTAAAACGATTATGGGAAACATCTGAAATATATTTCATATATTGTTACTCTAAAATGGTCACAGAGAATATAAAGATTGAAATTTTACAAAGCTGCCTTGAAAATAAATAATTATAAAAAAATTTCACTATATTGAGATTATCTAATTTCATTTAAATAAGTTAAAAAATAATAATTATTGATCATTATAGTTAGAATGTTTGGATGACTACAGAGCTTATTTTATTCTAAAATTTAAAGTTTAAAATAAAATTATTTAAAATTCAATTTTATTGAATTATAAATTTTAAATTTACTGAACCTATAATTATTTAACTAAAATTTTATTAAGAATTAATGTACAAATACATTTATACAAAAAATACATTAATATGTACATGCAGTTTTAGTTATTAGAGAGGTTGGCAAGGTCTACCCATTCACTCAGACCTATAGTTCCTTTGTGCATACCTTCTACCAAATTATATTAATTCGGTTTCTTTACCTACGTGTTTCCGCCGAAGTATTATCATCATTATTTGTATACCTAAAACTTATGTATATAGGACGCATTTTTGTATAACCTATAAATAGAATGTCCCACTGTAATTAACTAATTTTAACATTAGTTTATGTAGTCAAATTAGTAAATCATGGTTGGACACCTGTATAGGACGTTTTACAAAGCCACTCCTATATGTATATATCCAAAGAATCCTATCTCTCTGGTGAAATTAGGTATACAATTATATATATTTGGATTTTTGATATCTTCTTTTTTTCCCTTCTTAGTCGCGTGTTTTATATTTCATTCTCTACGTGTTAAGATCTCAACTTCTTAGGGAATATAATTTTGGAGAACACGTTTGATACAATTGAAGGTATCTCCCAGTATACTCTGGTCTATTTTTTTATGGCTATTTATTAATCGACTAAGTATGACAGCTCTTATATTTGAATTACAGGCTAATTAAGTATTACTATTATTTACATTAAAGAATCATATTTAAGCATGTCATCAAAATTTTTAAAGTAAATTTTATATTATATTATATAAATTTTAAAAAATAATAAATTTATAGCGTTTGAGAAATTGTTTCATTAATAAATTTTCTATTATATTAATGTAGGATTTACATACGATAATGGTATGAGTGTAAACATGTTTTTATCAATAAAAGCACGATTAGCATTTGACTATTGTCGACGGTTGTCCGCAGAGATTAATGTTATCGACATGATTTTTTCGAACACACAAAATAAAATCTCATAAAAAATGACGCGCAATCATAATATTATGTTCGGGAACATTAAAATATACACAAACGTTTATCTCCTACACGTTTACGCATAGGTATGGTCCGTTGAAAATGCCATTAAAACCTCAGTCGTTTATTACCGAGCTCCCGAGACTGGTAATAACCGAGAGTCATGAAATCGAACGTTGTACAAGATTCTGAAGGGGAAAAGTTTTTCTTTATTCGTTTTTCTTCTTGTATAAATTGCACACAGCACGTTACCGCAAGACGCTTACATCAAAGCTAACACGTTAAGTCGGCCAAAGTTTCTGTTTAAAATTCAATCGGGTTGCAATTATTAACACACATAGCTGTACGCGTGCGAGATTGCTCGCGGCATAATAAAAGTCAAAACATTCAGGTAAATGTGCGATAAACGATATATCAGACTAAAGTAGTTAACTAATCAGCACAACGATATCCTAACGAAGATATACGGCCGTTAAGCTGTCGACCGTTAAGCTGTAGACCGTCGAGCTAGGCGATTAAAATCAAAGTCAAAGCACATGGCTCAGAATGCCTAACCGAATTCTTTTTTGTAAATTTTAACCCTCGGCCTTGATTGATTTTAAATTGTTTGCATGCAAAAACTCTCATGCAGTATAACTAATGCCCTCTTAACACAAAATAGTTTATTTATCATGCATAACAATTATGCATGATATTATTAGAATTACATTATGTATTTATCTTTACCTGTTAGAAGTACTACTCTGAGATTTACTAGCAGAAAATCGTCCCCCCAGACGTCTGAAAAGATGTGGCTCTGAAGTGGTACCATTTCTTCGACTATCCATAAAACTGTCATCTAGTAGAAATCTCGCTTTTTTTCTCAGCAACTGAAAAAAAAATTTTTATTTATCTGGAAAAAAGATTAATTTTTGAAGTATATAGTGTATAAGCGTATATACATCGAAATTCTAGGTAGAGCAATTGTTTTCTGATATCATTGACAATATTCAATTAGGCAAATGACATCTACTTTTCTGCTAAATTTTAAGTATTTCATTCTTTTAGACACAAAATTTAAGGAGTGTTGTAAAATACTGTTCTGAAATTATAGTTAGATCAGGCATTTTTTATTTTATTGTTTCTATTTAACTATTATATGTATTTATAATTAAATATATAAGTTGTTATTTAAAGAATTATAGTTGAAATCCTTATAGGATATAAGAGATAGTCCAATAAATTACTTGAAACCAGGGCTTGAAACTGTTTTCATAGCGTTATGATTAACGTTATAACTACCAAAAAACAATTGACATCATAAAAAAAATTGTGTATCGATTAACAAAAAATGTATAATAACAATTTAACTACAAACGAAATAAAACAATAATCAAAACTAAATAGAAAACGTAATGATGATTCGTTATAACTTATAAGACACAATGATTATAGGTAATATAAAGGGTGTTCAACAAGTCAGGAAACGGGTTTCTATTGTTCTCATTGACTTACTGAACACCCTGTATACCTGCGAACAACCTATTTTATCTCTTCATAAAAACTATGAGAGAAATTCTTGCACGCAAGCGATGGCGAGTAATTTCTAATAAAGTAGACAATTATCAATAACGTTTAAAAATTGAAAAACATAAAAAACGGTAATGTTTTAATATCAAAAAACGTAAACTATTAAAAATTCATATTTTTTAAATACTACTAAACAGAAAACACTATAAATCCGTAACGTTTTAACTGTTATAACGCATAAACAAAATAAATAATTTTGATTCAAGTTCTACATAACACTATAAAATCCAAAAAAAATATTTTTGATACTATTTATTTTTGTAAATAGATTAGTGGTTGGGTTAAACGAATTACCTGTAATATAAAAATTACATAATAATATTATTTAGTTGTATTTTCTATTTCATGAAAAGTGATACGTAAAAAAAAAATATGACTAAATTATGGTATTGTGTTGTTTTTTCTTAACGCGATATTCACTCAACTCATTCAATTCATTACAAAATAAAAGTAATATCCTTATTTAAAACGTAAATTTTATCGAATACTAATAATTATAAAACTATCATATATAAATTATTCATGAACGATAATTAGCTAAAATTAAATCATTTTTCCATATTTTATTAATTTAAACATTATATAATGCATACTTCCAAGATTTTATTATGATTAAATGCATATAATTTTAAACTTTTTAGGTGCTCCTTAATCCGAACTCTAATTATGACTCACGTAGAATATTATTATCAATTAACTATTTTCAATATTATAGTAGTTAATACATTTGTATTTATTTCTCCATAAAGTTTCCTTTGATCATTTTTCTCAATTAATTTAAATAATAACGATTTTGATTAATATCAACTGATTAATGATTTTGTATTTTTCAATAATAATAAATAAATACATTGAAAAGTCGATTTTTTAACTTTTTCTTTCTAATCATCGATATTATAAATAAAATAATTAACTTTAAAACTTGATCAATTGTTTGCAAATTTTTATTTTATATTATTTTTTGTTATAAATAATTAAAAAATTTTATTTTACATTATTTTTGTATAAATTATATATGTCTAAGAGTTCATAAAATAATATTTTTTTTATAATAATTTGATTCAACTTCAATTTACAACAATTGTAAAATATTTTAATAAATTATTGTGAGATTTTAACTAAACAAGAATATACAAAATTATTTGTCTACCGCAATGCAACTCTAAATAAATTGAAGTTAAAGCGAAATATTTTATATATTTTTTATATAAAAGGGACTCTATGTCACATATAAGAATATCACACTCTCGCTGCAATCAATGTTTCCACGAAAAGAACTTAAAATGTTAGTTATTTATATAAATTGTCAGAATGAATAAATGTATTGAAAATGTTTTTTAAATCATGAGTTCTATTATTCTTGTGAAACAAAACTTATTTTAAACACTTTTATCTAAATATTTTAAGACGTAAATTTGTATAATTTTATTCCTGTATGTAAGGCATTTAATTTCTATAAATATTTTCATTATTCTCAAATAATTTATGATTAATAAAATTTGTTAGATAAAATAGTGAGTAATGCGTTTATTTATAAAACTCGCGTTTTTATTTATAAATACTCACAAATAAAGATATTATTATTACTAAAAAAATGTTAAAAATGTAGAATTATTTACCTGTACGGTGAGAGCATACGTGACTACCATAATGATCATTGGTATGTAAAAAGCGACTAGTGAACCAAAGACAAAAAACGCTCTATTGTTTATAACGCACATCCCTGGTTCCGGCATGATGTTCTTAGGGTTATAAAGACCTGATAATTTAAAATAATTCAAAATTTAATAAACTTATACATGAAAACAAATTGTTTATACTTGTAAATCTCTTTAGTATTACACTTATAAAATAATTAAACATTTTAAATAAAATTCTAAAATCATTGAGAAAGTAAATTTAATAAATACACTCTAACCAAATCAATAAATTCAATTTATTATGCCATATGATTTTGTTAAATTTTTCGTTTCAATAAACAGAAGTTTATTTAAATATTAAATTCAACATATTTTTACTGACTACTATATAGTCAGTGTTTTGGAAAACTAAAACAATGACTAAAGTAAAATGAGAGGAACATTTCTGAGCTTTTATAAAAATAGCTATTCTTTTTGCATTTAACAATACACTGAAAGTAATAACAGTTATACATAATGTATACAAAGCAAATGTCTTGAAAAATTACCGCCATAGTAATAAAATAATGTTTTATTACTTTTATATTATAATAGTTTAAAATAAAATGTTTCATTTATTTGTATTATTTTATAATACAAATNAATGTTTCATTTATTTGTATTATTTTATAATACAAATATTTTAACTACTATCAATTTTTCAGTTTTGATACGATCACATTTTGTGTTTGTATCTATTTCTGTTTAATAGATAGGTCAACACATACTTTTATACAATACAAAAGTTCAGTAAGTAAGGGAAAAAGTCATTTTTTTAAAACAATGAGAACAAAAGAACCCCGTTTTGTTACTTACTGAATATTCTATATACATATACAGGATCCAATGACTAAGTAAACAGACATTATAATAACACATCGAACAG